CCCATAACTACCTTTAAATATGTGCTACAGTAACTACATCAGCTTTATTCGGGGGCGGGAGAGTTCCTGCTACTTCGCGGACAGCACAATATGATCAAGGTGGCGAATGCCATGGTTAGACCAGTGGGTGTTTTTTTGTTTGTGTGTTTGTTTTTTGTTTTTTTTTTTTCCTGGTGTTCATTTTTTTCTGAAGGAAAAGACTCATTTTATTTCATAAACCAGACTTAATAAAAACACAAAGCAATAACAGAGCTGTCTTGTGGTTGCTGTATCCTCCAGCCTTGATACTTATTTAAGACAGCAACCCCCTTCGTGTAGTGAATTTATTCCTGGCTCAGCTTAGCAGTAATGGAAACATTAGCAAAAAAGTAAATTTTCCTTTTTTTTTCCCCTCCAGAAAGGCGCTGTCCGTTGTACAAAAGGCATCGGGGGGCTCTGGGTGAGACACAGGCTCAAACCCGAAAGTTGCCAGGTGCTTGCCAATATGTATTTTATTTCCCAATGATCAAACCCTGCATAGAGGCTGTACTGCACCACCCTTCTCTCCATCCATCATTCATGGAGCAGTTTCCTAGAGGTTGGGGGAGCAGCACCCTTTAGGTTGCTGGAGATAGCCAGAGATTCAAAATTCCCTTTCATTTTGCTGTTCTGTGCATGTCAGAGAGACTGTGGTTATCCTGTTATTCCTTCGTGGCGTGATGGTTTCTCTCTCCCCTCTTCCCCTTTTCTTTCTCCAGTTCCGGTTCCTCCAAAATCTGTTACTTCTTTGATGATGAATAAAGATGGCTTCCTGGGTGGAATTTCAGTCAATACCGGAGAGGTGTTTTGCTCTGTACCTGGCCGCTTGTCTTTGCTTAGTTCTACTTCAAAGTATAAAGTAACTGTGGGAGAAGTTCAAAGACGCCTTTCTCCTCCAGAGTGTCTGAATGCATCCCTCCTAGGAGGAGTACTTAGAAGGTAAGAGGCTGGGACAAGTGTGTGAACATGCCCCTGTGTGGGCATCCATGCATGCACCAGAAATATTCGGTCATTGGTGAAGATGATAGCAAATATGCATTGATCTTATTGTCATAGCATGTGTGTGTAATGTTCAGGATAAGGTGAAAATATGCTGTATTCAGACATTGAGATGAATGTACGGAAATTAGAAAAAGATATGGCCTTGTGCAGTTTCTGTCAAAGAATCCCCAAATGAAGGAACCGAGACCAGAAGATTTTCGCCCTTGTACACGCACACACTTTTCTCCTCTTTCTCACACTTCTCTCTTAGAAAATGGGCAAAATAAAATGCCATGATGGGCATGTTGCAGGATGAACTGGGTATATTTCAGGACCTGATGTATTTCTAGGGATTTCCTAGATAAATGCATGAGGCTTCTTCTATATGGCAATAAAGACAAGGCAGTTAACATGGTGTCACACAAGAGATTATTGACATTGGCAGGAGATTAATAGGCAACCTGTAAAGTAGGTAAGTACCTGACTAAAAACCCAACAACAGGTAGCTTTGAAAGTCAGAAACTTAGTGCTTCATCTAGAGAAGGTTGCTAGAGGAATTACTCACAGTTGGTCCAGAGGCCTTTGCTATTTAATATTTGTGCCAACCACCCACTAATGTCCTTGTGAGTTTTGCTGAAGACCTCAAACTAGTTGGCATTACTGATACCGAGGAAAAAGAGGAGAGAGGTATAACCTGGAGGCCTGGTGGCCACTCCATCATATCAAGCAAGAGATCATGTGTTTAGGTGCCAGCAATGACAATTTAAGCTCCGAGGACATCAGCTGGAAGGACTAACAGGAGAAAGGTCTTTATCTTCTTGACAGTGGCTGAAGGACTGTGAATTGTCAGTATGACTTGTCTATAAGAAAATTCAGCTAAGGCTTTATCTCCAGTCACAACAGGGAAGAAGTCATGATACGCTATGTAGTACCAGTTCACTCAAGCCAACAGAAAGCTGAGAGGGGATAAAACTTCATCCTCTACATGTGAGTTATACACCGACCTGGAATATAAAGCATAACTTCGAGACAGAAACAAACTCAATTAATATGGTCCCGAATAAGTCCCAGTTCATGTTTAAAAGTTGCTTATCTTAGAGGGGGAAATACCTTGCCAGCTCCTGTACCAGCAACTGGGCAACGTTGACTAAGGTGTTTTAAAATCAAGTTGATTGCTTATTTTGTGTTGGGTTTTAGTTTTTCCCATGCAAAAATTTCTGTGATGATGTCAGGGTCTCCAGCTCCGTGTCTGGAGAGGAGGGGGAAAGTCCTGCTACATGCAGTCAGTCACCCAAAAATACAGACGTGAGAATTAGGGTTTCCTGAAATAGATGCTGTTCCACGTGAGTGTCTGTAATCATTGTTCAGCTATGATCCTTGCCAGGGAGAGCAGCAGAGATTTTTACTTACAGATGCTAACCTGCCTGCCCATTCTGTACAAATGGAGCGGGGAGAACATCTGAGAGATGCACTGTAGAAAATATAATTATCAAGGTAAAGAAACATCATTATTGAACTTCAGTGGATTTCTGGAGATGGCCCAGGCCATAATCATTGGCTGCTGCTGACTTCAGTTCCTATCTTGAATCTAAATTTTAGACAAGCTTTTGGTTCAGAGCAGATGAAAAATAGAAAGCTGCTCTCTTGTAATTCTGCCATCTAGCCCTATTTACGTCGGTATAAAATAGTGGGAAGCCAGTCTGGCTTCTCTGTCGCTTCTGCTTTCCTTTCCCTAAGTGTGACTGTTAATTCTTAAACAAATTCTAAGTGAGAACTAAGAGATGTTTGGGATAGACTCTGATCTTAGGTGCCAAAACTCTCCCTGATTTCGCAGGTGGCGAGATTTTATCCCTGGGGCTTTACATATGTATAGGCTTCCGAACAATAGCTCTGTATTTCCCACCTATAGCTCACTCATCCTTTTATTGTCCTTATCAGTAACCTCCGACAGATATTCAAATCTTCCTTCAGGCACTCAATTCCCTCTGTATAACGCACCCTGCCTTCAGGTGAGCTCTTCCTCTCAGCATCGCCTTTCGGCACAAAACCACATTTACACGCACGAAACGGTTTAATAAATATTTTCCTCCTTTCTTATTTATCCACAGGCACACACATTCTCCCTTCGAGCCTTTCAGATTTACACCCACCCACCCCATCCCCGCTCTTCTTCCCATTCTAGCTCTTTCCTTGACTAACTGAGGATTAATTCTCCTCCTGTACCTTTCTGCCCATCTCCTCACTCCATCTTAACACGAGTGTCATACAGTAGGAACCCATTTGCTCTCTAGATCAGAACCCTCTCCATTAATTATTGCTATCTGGCATTATTTAATTTCCCTGGATAAAATAGGGAGAAAAGTGGCTTCATCCGCACTCCCACCCCTGGGAGAAATTAAGCAAATCTCAGCAAACCCGAGCAGAAATCAACACCCTCAAAGTCCTTAACGTCGAGTGAAACCCTCCCAGGCTCCACTGACTGCACAGACTAAACGTTTCTTCCAGGAACACTGCGGGGTTAATCACGATGTTAATTTCTTTGCAATTCTAGAGCCAAATCGAAAAACGGGGGGAGATCTTTGCGAGAAAGGCTAGAAAAAATCGGTTTGAATTTACCAGCCGGCAGGCGTAAGGCCGCAAATGTCACTTTACTCACCTCCCTGGTGGAAGGTAAGCCGAGGGTCGCAGCTCCCTTCACACCCCTGCCTGCTCTGAACTCCTGTCTGACATTTTACCAACTCAAAAAAAAAAAAAAAAAAAAAAAAAAAAAAAAAAAAAAAAAAAAAAAAAAAAAGCCAACCAGCTTTCGGGATCAGGTGGGAAAACCTTGCAGAGGTGAAATTCAGGGCGAGTTAGGATGAACACCGGCACGGTCAAGGATTCCATCCCCCAAAATGAAGTCACTGACCGGAGGGTCACTGATTCCTCTGGGTGGCAAGAATGTGTGTGTGTGTGTGTGTGTATATCTATATATAAATGTGTGTACACGTGTGTGATTCTTCAGGTCAGTCCCATTCCTCATTGCTATTCATTCCCAGGCTATGCTCTCCGACTCCACGTCTACTCCATCCTCCTGAGCTTATTTATAGCCACTACAGGACGCTCAATGAGGAAAAAGAATACAGATTTTTGTTTGTTTGTTTATTTGTTTTGGTAATAAATCAGAGCAATTGAAGAATCGCAAAGGTTTACCTTAAGATGTCGAGAAGTGAACAAAGAAACAAACTGTTCCTGAGGAATCAGAGAGGGAAAGGGACACTGAAGTTTCACCTCATTTCAAGTCAACTAACGTCATTTTGGTGGCCGGCGTGGTTTTTTTGATTTTTTTTGTTACTGTAGTGAAAAGCAAAATTTAGAGCCACTAATATGTTTAGGTTATGTGCGTGTTTATGCTAAGAGAAGTTGGACTTTCTCCAAAAAAAACCCATAATCGGAATAGTATGGATGCAATTATGAATTATATGTATCTGCATTACACATACACACCGAGAGGCGTATTAATAATCCACTTATCTCTTCTGCGTATAAGCATGCATGCAAATTTGAGCTAAGATATTAACTTTTCAACTCTTTTGATTGAGTTCTGGGAGCGATAAGACCTTTACCGCATGCAGAGCTGAAGGCAGGCTGGCAAAAAAAGACGGGGGCTGATAGCAAGGAGCCCCTCCTGCTACCCGCATAGGGGTTCTGCCCAGTGCGCAAAGCACAGCGTAGGTTACGTGGATAGGGTCGCGCTAGAGGAAACACGAAGCTTTTCGGGTGTGACAACCGCCCTGGAATACGGGGGTTGGTGAAGCTTCACCCACCCCCGTGGGCGCCCAACTCAGGGCCAAATCTGCCCCTCCCCGAAGTTGCCTTGAGGTTCAGGGGCCGGTGCGGTTGCAGAGCGATGCTAAAATCTATGGCAAGTGTGTAGCAAGGTGTATGTCATCCCCTCCAGCTGTGATATTTCACCACTGGATTAAAGAGTCTATAAAGTATATTTGGACACATCTGAGGATTAGAAGCTGCACCTGCTGGAGCTTTATCTCCCTTTCCCCCACCAGCCAGGCTTTAGCGTTGCTGCTATTGTATCGCCGAGAGCAGAAACGCTCCGGCCAGGATTTACCCGAGCGGTGCCCGGGGGGACCCTGCCCGGCGCGGGGTGACCGCGGCGGGGACTCCCCCTGCTCCTCCCGCTGCCCTCGATTTTATTGAGCGGTTTGGTGATTAGCGAGAAGCCTTGGAAAGCAGAAGATGACGTTGGAAAGCAACTCCTGATCGTTAAAAATAATGTGGTCCTGGAGTTATTAGACATATCTGTTCTGCGTGTTGGAAATCTTCCCCCTGGTCCCTCAGGCGGTGCTTTAAAGGGTTTAATGCTTTATTCTAGAGGGGCTGAGCTATAATCTGGTAGAATCCCCCTAGAGTCTGAGGGTTTTTCCCCACCCCCCCTTCTTCTTTTCCTCCTTTCTGCAGCTACTGTCTTCTTGTGGCATGAAGTACATCAGTAGGAGTTGGATGACACGAACCTCTGGAGGCAAGAAACCTGAAACCAGGCAGGCAGGAAAAGCGACAATTAGAATTAGAGTTAGAATAATTATTATTTTTCACGGAAAAAGGTTGCCATTGGTTGCTCTCTTTCCACCGGGCAGAGAGGAGTTCCTGTTGCATGATGGTCAGTTAAGAAAGCAGTTGAATTATTTCCATCGGACGAAATGGAGTTATCTCCATCATTTTCCAGATGTGGCGATAATCGTGATAATGCTGCAAGTGCTCTGTGTGTGTGTGTGTATAGTGTGTATATAACGTCCCACAAAGAACTGACATTAATATTAAGTCCACATCTGTACAATTTTGGATAATGATCTGGTGTATTGAAGCAGGAATGATTTCTCTGCTCTTAGGAGAAGTTTGGGTACTTTTGCCTTTCGTGTGGTTTTTTTTTTTTTTTTGTTTTTTCCCCAGTTCATTTGAAAGTGTGTGTGTGTGTTACACGTGTGTGTGTTACACGTGTGTGTCTGTTACATGTGTGTGTATGTATATGCGTGTGCTTCTCCCTCAGTTCTGCACAACCAGCATCACGGGTACACACCACCACAAGCGCATTGTAGCAAAGACAAATCTCATCAGCTGACAATCTGTCCCATCAACTTACTTCTGCCCCCAAAATAGGGCTTGTGGAGGGAAAACACATACGTGGAGCTTGTCCCTAAGGTACAAGGGAAAACTTTTTAAACACGGCCCTCCAGAGCTGGTCTCTCCCAGGGGTCTTCTGCTGCCAGGAGCCTGGGCAGGGGGGAGCCAGCCCGGGGCGGGGGGCCGGCGGGGCCCGGAGGTGTTCATGCCCCTCTCATTCCCTCCAGGTGAGGCCGTTCATTTAGCTCGGGATTTTGGGTACATCTGCGAAACGGAGTTCCCAGCCAAAGCTGTTTCTGAGTACCTGAACAGACAGCACACGGACCCCAGCGACCTCCACTCCAGGAAAAACATGCTGCTTGCTACAAAGTGAGTGCGAAGTTGACTAAACATCCACCCACCCCA